GAAATCAAATAAAAACGAAAGGGTAAGGAGTTTACCTCGAGTTCTTCTTCTGCGGATATTTCAATATCGTTAAGTGGTTTGAAAACATTTTCACTGAGCAACTCCTCTTCAAATTTTAACATTACTTCACTTGAAGACTCAACATTTGTTTCCGTGCTCAAAATAGTTTCGTTTCGCCCTAATAAAGTTCATGCATACATTTTAGAATCTTTATGACAACAACAATAATTTCTTTAAGTGGTTAAAAAATTACCTAGAAGGTATGATCGAAATCTGTACTTGAATTCGAGAGGTGACGGATGGTCATGCAGCCCTCCTTTCATATATGTTCAATAGCTTCACTAAACTTCACTCATTTTCATACATTTTTGTTTACTTTTACAAAAAAAAAAAATATTATCTCTGGTAATCAGGTAGCATGAATTTTATGAAATGTCATAATTTTATTAAAAGTCAAATGGTTAGCAACAACAACGAATGTCATTAAATGGAACTACCTTCTTTTTTGTATCATGGGAAAAACTATTACAAATTTTTGACATGTCGAACGCAGCTATTATTTCGAGTGAATCCGATATGTCATCTGATGAACCCCATACCTCAGCTCAGACCCTGGTGGCTCCTGGGCTCGAACCTAATAAAGATGTTGTAGGCAGTACGCAAGACTCGTTGTGCTATGAGGTAGGAGTTAATGTAAAGTTCATGGTATTGGTGGAAGTTGTACCAGATTCTTCAGGAAAAAAGAAAAATGTACACTCAAGTCTTTTCTTTCATGAATTAATTGAAGATTTTGATCTAAGTGATCTTGACGACATAACTATGATGTGAAATGGCCAAGCTAAGCTGACGTTTTACACGGCGACTGGCGCAAATGCTTTTGTTAAAAATGATTTTGCTGGAAAAAATCTTAAGGCATACATACCAATAACATTCGTAATGAAATTTGGTGTTATTAGACACTACTAGTTAAATATTCAGATAGTGACATTCTTTCTGCGATTGAGTCTCCGGTTAAGGTGACATCAGTTGAAAGGTTTAAAAGAAAGTAATCTAGTACCTAGCACTACTGTCAAGATAGGTTTCAAAGGAGATGCAGTACCAAAAGAAGTGTGTCTTAATAGATGCATTTGTAAGGTTGATTACTATGTTCCGACTATTAAACAATGTAGGAAGTGTGGTTTGTTAGGGCATATTGCTAACTTTTGTAAAGCTACAAGTGCACGCTGCTTGTCATGTGGAAAGTCGCCACCATGTGTACAGGCCTGTGTTGCTTTGATGTGCATTTTGTGTGGTGCTAAAGACCACTCATCCATTAATACAAACTGCCCTGTTAGAGTGGAGCTTCAAAACATTAAAAAGTTTGTACCATCGAGAACATCTCTTTCAAAGACTTCAAAAAGAAATATAGTAGCAATCGTTTCGATTTATTAGCAGATTATGATAAGGAATTTCCAAATTCTTTCAATGTAAATAATTTGAACATCAGGGATAAGCAAGCGGATGTTAATCGTAGTCTTACTAGAACGAAATACACATCAGTTGTACAAAGAAAATATAAAGTTTTGCCCACGAAATCAAACTTTCCAATTGTAGAACCGGTTGTTATCACTCCTACCGTCCCGTATACAAATAATCACATTGTTTCAGAATATGAAAAACTTACTCAAGCTCTTCTCAAAGCAATTTCCGATTTAAACAACCAATTCAATAGTCCTGATGTTAGCAACCTGGTTGCTATCTTCCAAAGTAATTTCAATAGTTTGGTTTCGGAATCATCTGATCCTTGTTCATATACTCTTTCAAATGAAGAGTCTGCAACATAATATACAAAGTTTTAGAACGAATAAGAATTTAATTGAAATGTTCATAAATACAAATTTAATACATGTTTGTCTTTTTTATGAAGTTTTTTCTATCAACGTAGATGATTTTAGGCTTAAGCTGCTAAATTTTAACATGGTTTCAAAGTTTCGGTCTGATGGATATGGTGGAGTCGCCATTGCTGTCAGAAACAATATTAAATTCAAAATAATAAATTTTCATTCAACAGCAGACATTTATGTGATAACTTCGACTAACTTGCAACCAAATTTTATTTTTGTTTCGGTATATTTTGCACCTAGAATTTCGACACAAACCTTTAAAGATGAAATTGACAATTTATTTACTGTCTGTGAACGACAAAACAATGTGATTATTGGAGGTGATTTCAACGCTCGTGCTGAAATTTTTGGAGACGAGCTCACTAGTGCAAAGGGAAAAATTCTGGTTGATGCTTTGAATGCATCCTCCTTTCATTGTTTAAATAACAAAAGTTTTACCTTTTATCAAAATCAAGGAGCAGCTCACAATCAAAACGGCAGTGTTTTAGATCTTTCCTTTGTAAATGCGTGTAGCCCCATCTTTTCCTGGAATACACTTAATGTGTACCTTGGAAAAAGTCATCATAAGCTTATTTTAATTGAAATTCTAAATGTACAAACAAGAATGCATACTTTTGTTGCCAGAAAGAAATTACTGTCCAACCTTGGAAGTGCTGAATTAACTCCTGATTTCCCATAAATTGAAAAAAACGTTTCAGAACAATATCAAGGCTGTCACCTACAAATGTTCGTCAAATAGAACTCCCAAAAAATGGTGGACGGATGAGCTTACTGCATGCTTCCGGAGGATGCAAGCAGCTAGACAGAAACCAAATAGATTTTGTAACCTGAACAATATTCAAGCTTTTAAGGACGCTCTCTTTTTGTGGAAAGATATGGTTAAAAAGGCTAAGGCTGAAAATTATAAAAAGCATTTAGATGAACTCAGCAACGTTCCCAATACTAAGGAATTTTGGAAGGGTATTAATGCAATTAGGGGAGCTACAAAACCAAACTCTTCGTTGTGGGAATGGGACTCGTCACGCAATTTGGACTATCTAAGATTTTTAAAAGGACAAGTTAATTCAAATGTTTTTCTTTTTGCTCCGATGCCTGCAGTCAGTCTATCTAAGACACCCTTCACTTTGGATGAATTATTATTGGCTCTTAACAGCAAATCTAAGGCAACAGCGGCTGGATGTGATGGCATTAAATATGACATGTTTAAAGCTCTTAGTCCAAATGGTTTCCAAAAGGTTTTGGTGGCCATGAACAAATGCTGGCAATCTAATACAGTCTTAAATTCTTGGATATTTATCAAAATTGTACCTTTGTTAAAAAAAGCAAGGACCCTACTTGTATACAAAGTTTCCCCGATTTCCTTAATTTCCGTTTCTGTTAAAATTATAAATTTAATGGTCAAGAATCGTCTTGTTGATTTTGTGAATAGGAATTCCCTTTTGCCTCTTCGGTCTTTGGCCTATCAGAAAAACAAATCAGTTGGCATGAGTCTGAATGAAATGACTCACCTGTAGTGCAATTCACTAACTTTTAACGATACGATTTGTCGAGGTCTAATATAACGATTTTTGTAAGTAACGATTGTGTTATTCGGTAACTCTTTTTTAACGACACTAAACAGCTGACATTTTCTTTTTATTCCAATAAAAGAATGGTGGCATCTCAGCTTAACGAAACGTCAAAAAATGCGAAAAGCAGAAAGAAAAACGACGAAAAACAAATTAATTCCTTGCTTGCAAAGTGGTATACACATAGTTTTCTGAATATTTTAATATACTTTTAAAAAATTAAGTAAAATAAAACGTTTATTTATTTTGTATTATTAGACATAACCATTTTCGCATATTATAGAATGGCTTTGTCAGTACCCAGTGTTCAAAAGAGAAGCCGGACCACAGCAGAACAACTAAGTCGCATGGTGGACTTTTTGGCAGAAACGCCGGGATTGGCAGGATCAAGGTTCCAGAAGCTTCATGGCAAGTCGGACTGCGACAAGAAGTGGAGTGAGCTAGCGTCAATGCTGAATAGCCTTGGTGGTTCGGTGAAGAACGTCGACCAATGGCGCACAGTATATAGAAGTTGTTTAGTAATTTAATACCACGTTTAAAATTTTGTTTTGCAAAAAGGTATGGAGGGATTTGAAGAGCCGTACTAGTATTAAGGTGCGTGATAGAAAACGAAAGCAGGCAATGACGGGAAACAATCCCATTAATGAAGAGCCACCCACTGAGCTAGAGAGGCGTGTGATTGCCCTTGTCGGTAGCGACTATGTGCAGGGCCATGAAACTGTGTCTGAAAGTGTGCCAGTGGAAGTCATTAGGAACTCCAACTTCGTATGGAAGAGAGTGATGAAAGTGTCATCATCGAGATGTCATCCCACGAAGTGAGCATTGAGATTTGCACATCGTCTCCTGTAACTCCTGCAGGAAAAACGCCTCGTAGAGGTGCAAAAAGAAAGCGTGTGGACGGTGGTACCGAGGCCCAAAAAAAATTTTTGGAAATTGCTCAGACCCAAGTAATTTACATATTTGTAACTTTACATAAGTGGCCGCTGTGGTGTAGTGGTAAGCAGTGCGCGTTTCCACTCCGCAGCACCCGGGTTCAAAGCCTGGTCAAAGCAACATCGCAAAAAATATAGAACAAAGTTTTTTCTTAACAGCGGTCGTCCGTCGGCAGGCAATGGCAAACCTCCGAGTGTATTTCTGCCATGAAAAACAGCTTCTCATAAAAATACAATCGCCGTTCGGAGTCGGCGTAAAACTGTAGGTCCCTCCGCTTTGTGTGACAA